CCATCTTCACAGGAATGTGCTGGGGGGGTCCAGCCCCGCCCCACTGATGGTGGTCCCCTTATTGTCCCCACAGTGAGGTGCAGTATGTTGTGCTGCAGAACGTGGCCACCATGTCCATCAAACGGAGGGTGAGTCTCGGACTCTGTGGGAGGAGTTGGCCCTGTTGACTCTGGAGCGGAATGACAGCCAGCCAGCAGGGTCACCAGAGCCAGCTACCTGCGAGTGGTCTTGGCGCGCGGGGGACAGGGGTGGCACTAACGGCGCTGGCTCTGCACACAGGGGATGTTTGAGCCCTACCTGAAGAGCTTCTACATCCGCTCCACAGACCCCACGCAGATCAAGATCCTCAAGGTGAGCTGGAAACAGCCAGCACAACCCATCACTGGTGGCTTTGGGGCTTCCTTGTGGGGCAGCTGTCCTCCATGTCCTGGGGACACAAGGACAGCAAGGACCTCATGCCCTGGCACCATGCCTCCATGCTGCCCATCTCTTCCTTTTTCCCACAGCTGGAGGTCCTCACCAACCTGGCCAACGAGACCAACATCTCCACCATCCTGCGGGAGTTTCAGGTACGCCATGGCTACACTGAGGCCACCAAGGTGCCACCCTGCCATGGCTCTGGGTGCCACAACACCCCCATGGAAGGGACAGAGGAAAGTCCCACTAGGAAGAGTGCGCTGAGGTCATGCCAACCCCCATGGGTGGCTCCATAGAGCCCCAATGTGTGACCACCACATAGGGGGATGCCTGGCACTGGCATATGGGTGACATGTTGTGTGTCCCCCTCCACGCCTGCACAGACCTACATCCGCAGCATGGACAAGGACTTTGTGGCGGCTACCATCCAAGCCATCGGACGCTGTGCCACCAACATCGGGAAGGTGAGGGATACCTGCCTCAACGGCCTGGTCCAGCTCCTCTCCAACCGGGACGGTGAGTGCACGTGGTGGGGATGAAACGGGGGCTCCACCGCGCTCAGAGCAGGACCCCACTGAGGCCAGGTCTCTGTCTGCAGAGCTGGTGGTGGCCGAATCCGTGGTGGTCATCAAAAAGCTGCTGCAGATGCAGCCGGCCCAGCACAGTGAGATCATCAAGCACATGGCCAAGCTCACTGACAACATCCAGGTGGGTTGGGGGTGTTGCGTGGCCCCCCCAGGACTGAGAGGGTGGCAGCAGTGTCAAGTGCCCGTGGTTGTTTTGCAGGTGCCAATGGCACGAGCCAGCATCTTGTGGCTCATCGGCGAGTACTGCGAGCACGTGCCCAAGATCGCACCTGACGTGCTGCGCAAGATGGCCAAGTCCTTCACCAATGAGGAGGACATCGTCAAGCTGCAGGTCATCAACCTGGCAGCCAAGCTCTACCTGACCAACTCCAAGCAGGTACCAGGGACATGGCCTAACAATGTGCCTCAGTTTCCCCACCGGTGAGGGAAAGGCTGGCCCTGAGCATGTCCCCTGTCACAGAGCAAGCTGCTGACCCAGTACGTCCTCAACTTGGCCAAGTATGATCAGAATTACGACATCCGCGACCGGGCTCGCTTCATCCGCCAACTCATTGTGCCCACCGAGAAGAGCGGGGCCCTCAACAAGTATGCTAAGAAGCTCTTCCTGGCCCAAAAACCTGCTCCCATCTTGGAGTCCTCCTTCAAAGGTATCCACCCCCAGTCACAGGGCATGGGGACACAGGGCTAACTGTCACCACAATGCTGCATGGCTGTCCCCGAACTGCTGCCACCTCTTACCCCACTGTAGATCGGGATCATTTCCAGTTGGGCTCCCTGTCCCATCTGCTCAACACCAAGGCTGTGGGCTACCAGGAGCTGCCTGACTGGCCAGATGAGGCCCCCGACCCCTCTGTGAGGAACGTGGAGGTGCGTTGAGCACCCTGGGGTGCTGGGGTGCATGAGGGGACCAAGGTGGCAGCCACCGCCTTGGTGTCTTGGGAGAGCCCCAGAAGGTGCCCAGGTGGTGCTCAGCTGCCCCATGTCCCCTCTCTGGTGCCCACACACCTGCCTGGGGACAGAAGGGGGGCAAGGGCAGCTGTTTGGGCCCCCCTCCATGGGTGATGGCCCTGATCTATCAATCCCATGCTGGCAGGTTCCCGAGTGGACCAAGAGTACCAGCCGGGAGAAGAGGAAGGAGAAGGTGGAGAAACCTTTCTACTCTGACTCAGAGGGCGAGTCGGGGCCAACGGAGTCCGCAGACAGTGGTGAGGACTTGGTAGCACAGGGGAGGGGGTCACCATGGTGGGGCATTGGGCAGGGGACACTGCAGCAGGGATATCAGGCAGGTGACACCACGGTGGGGCATGGTGTAAGTGCCACCATGGTGGGGCATGAGGCCGGAGCCACCATGGTGGGGCACCAGGCAGGGGACACCATGGTGGGGCATCAGGCAGGTGAAACAGCAGTGGGGACATCCCACAGTGGTGGAGACGTGTCAGGGGGCATGGAGGGATGCGGCA